TCACATCAGGGGAATCTGATGAGCCATCTTCTTGCTCTGATGATGATGAGTCAATGACAGTTGGTAAAAGGCAGCAAGGGTGGACAGATAAAGACTCTAAACATTTCATTTTTGATAAAAGGTAACAAAAATGTACCACATCAACTTTTAAGCTATCTCCAGTACTAGGTTTAAGTTTAGACATGTTTAACCCTCTCAGTTTAAGACAGTGTTCAGATAATGGAGCCAAATAGGAATCCAAACCATCGGTTACATAACTTCCCTTGAAACTAACTTCTAATACATTTGGTGTGTCTTGAACAATCAAACGAAAGGACTCAAGTGATATGGTTACAGAAGAGAATCCAAGTACAGTAATGTTAACTCCACACTGACTGGTATAAACTGGTAGACCAAGAGCAATATCTTTGTCTTCAAAAACAGCATATTGTTGACAAATGTCCTCATCATTAGGTTGTGAAGTTGGTGTAATCATATTCTTCATTGTAATATGCAGCTCTCCATCAGCAGTCACAGCCACAGACTCAGCATTATTGGGACCAAGTTGCAATGAATATTTTGGTACATCATAAAAATCAAAGTCCAAAGGTCGACAATCTCTTTCATAAAGTGCAAAATGAGCTGAATGAGCTATAGGAGGAATAGGAAATCTCCTAATCAATGAATGTCTTGAAACAATGATTAATATTTGTGGCAAAAAATTATTTGATGCCCATCTGTCAAAAAGTAATCCATCATCACTGTGAGCGACAAGTTTTTTTATTTTTGAAAGACACGAGAAAGCTTCTTGATTTTTAAGATCATTTTTAATAGTTAGGTACTGCAAGTGAGGTAATTGTGTTAATGAGGCAATCTTCTCTAATTCATTGTTGGTTATTTCAATCCCATAAAGGTTCAATGTATGAATGCTTTTACAGTTGAGTATTTTTGATCGATACTGACTGAACGATAGCTGCCCCCTTAAACTCAGCAACTGTACATGTGGTTGACATGTTTTTAGAGCAGATTTAATGAAAGGGGCACTCATCTTATGGTACGGATCATCAATGAAAACGTTTCTCCACAAATAAGGATCAGAACATATCGTGTAAAGTTGTCTATTGACTAATCTAAGGGACATCTTATCTCTGAGTGATAGCAACATACAGATCTCTTGTATGATCTCCTTTGGTAGGGAATCAAACGGGTTTATAGACTCCTTATCCTCTAATAGTGGATTGACATCACCAAACAAATCGGGATCGACTCTGAGACGCTTGAAATGAGAGGACATTTTGTTTAGAGTAGAACAAATATAAATGCATGCCAACACTACACAAGGAAAGCAGCCAACACATTTATCCACAAACCAATTCCAATCACGTGATTGCATGCTGACTTCAAGGCTAGATTATTGATTGTTAATTAATGAAAAACTAACAGTTCATAATTATAATAACTAGTAAAATGAGTGTTAGTTCTTAAATGCAAACTTTCAAACTCGTCTATAGAAGACTATCTTTACTCATTAAATCATTATATGAAAAACGTTTCAAACATTTCTTACTGTTGATAGCAACAGCAGCAAGAAAATCAGGAGTGAGATGCATTAAATTGCCAATTAGGAAAAGGTGAGTGAGACTACTATACAGTGCAGGATCGGCTGGTAGTGTGAGCTTTGCATTGTCAATACAGAGAAATGAAAGTTGTTGGCAATTCTGAAGCACTTCTTCAAGTCCTTTGCTATTATGAGTGGGAGAGAATGAAAACTCAATTTTGAGCATTTCTTCAAGCTCTTGAATTCCTTTGTAAGAAGAGAACGGAAATTCAACTTTGAGATAAACGAGAGATATCAGATTTGAAATGATTGAAAGCAAATGTTCATGAACCAGACCTTCTGATGAGTTGCATGCACAGTCGTGATTAAAAGTACAATCTATTACATCAAGACCTCTGAGTCTGGACATACTCTTAACATACTCAATCATACTATCCTTTGCAGCCAAATCAACATCAGGGGGATCTGATGAGCCATCTTCTTGCTCTGATGATAATGAGTCAATGACAGTTGGTAAAAGGCAGCAAGGGTGGACAGATAAAGACTCTAAACATTTCATTTTTGATAAAAGGTACCAAAAATGCACCACGTCTACTTTTAAGCTATCTCCAGTACTAGGTTTAAGTTTAGACACGTTTAACCCTCTCAGTTTAAGACAGTGTTCAGATAACGGAGCCAAATAGGAATCCAAACCATCAGTTACATAACTTCCCTTGAAACTAACTTCTAATACATTTGGTGTGTCTTGAACAATCAAACGAAAGGACTCAAGTGATATGGTTACAGAAGAGAATCCAAGTACAGTAATGTTAACTCCACACTGACTGGTATAAACTGGTAGACCAAGAGCAATATCTTTGTCTTCAAAAACAGCATATTGTTGACAAATGTCCTCATCATTAGGTTGTGAAGTTGGTGTAATCATATTCT